CCTCTGCTTCAACTCATTTTTCACAACTTTGAACTCTGCCTTGGCTATCTCAAGTTCGGAAGGGACAAACCTGAGATGTTCCTCCATGGATTGGGTGTCTTCATAGTCTGGCACCGGGATGTTGTCATTTTTTCTCAATCTTCGCCACTCCACATAATCCGGAGTAAGCATGTCTCTAGCAGCTACAACATCCATCCGGAATATTTTCTTCTATGAATCGACTGCTTCCTTGATCATTTTCTTATAGCTGTCACCGTGATACACAGACTCTGATCTAGCTAGTCCGCTTGTTTCTGGGACAAACTGACGTGCCCCATACTGTCTAAGTGCTAACAACGGAGCATACCCAACTGCACCCCAAAGTCCAAGTAAGGTCATAGTATCAGAATCCCTACACCGAAAAGAACGTCACCGAGGAACAACCATGGGGCTCTCAAGGTAATATCCCGATCCTGAAGATGTGTAAAGACTTTCATCCACTTTTCCTTTGAAGCACCTTCATGCCATTTCATTGTGATGAACTCTCCTAAAGGTGAATAGGTGGTGCTAAATCGGCGGTAGGCAACCCCGTTACTCTTCCAGAAGTGTGAATCCAGATTTGAAGGAGCTGAACACACCCAATGAACCTCCTTCTACCAGCTCTTCTACAATGATTAAGAGACCGAAAGGTCTCGGCTAAGATAGTCAGTGCTGGGTTGACTCGCCTTGGAAGTTGTTCAAATAGTTCCACCACGGCTGCGTCGATGCACCCCAAAGTCTTTGAAAAGATAACCATACCGTACAGACCTAGTGCAAAAAGGTCTATAGTCTTCTATTCATCAGGGTGGTTCTTCATTAGTTGCCTTATGTAGATCCACTCGATTTCTTCCCCGCTACCTTTGTGTCAGAGCGATCAGTCACCCATTTTTCATCAACTCCTGCAATCTTGGCCAGTCCGTTCTTGAAAGGGTGACTCTTGATGTGTTTGATATATGCCCTCTCTAGTCTAATGCTTTCGCAGTGCAGTAGTGTAGTATACTCTTCGATAGTGGGCACCATGTCCTCCCGGTTAAAGGTGAAGCAACTATATCCTGGGTTCCAGAATTGAATCAATGCTCGGAGCAGGGGCTCATCAGTCTTGACATGAAGTAAGAGTGCAATGTCACCATATCATTGGTTGAACTTCTGCTTTCAGTCATTCTTCCATCTATACCAAATGTTCCGCAACTATTGGACATCGTTCTGTTTCAGACTAACAGGGGCGTAGCTAACCAGCTCTAACACATAGTTCCCCTAAAGACTGTCTCCCTTCTCTTTCTGAGTCTTCTCGGACCATAGTCGTGCCTCGGCGTTTTCAATATCTTGTATTACAACACCTTTGTCCATTAATTCAGATTATTTTGTGTGTAACAAATGTTTTTTAGGGATCAATAGCCTCTTGTTATGATGCAAATGCTAAAAAACAAACACAAAGGAAAAAAGTTAGTAAAATAAATAAATAAATAAAAATGACGAGAGGGAAAAAACACAAAGATATGGTTAGGGTAAAAATATCCTATGTTTTGGCATGTGGTTTCGGGGTAGGCTCTAATTCTCTATAGTCTCCCGGTTTAGGTTCTAAAAAAAAGGTACCCGAGTTTGACTTGTCGGTGCCCCCTTGGGCTTGCCAGACCCTTAGTCCTAAACCCATCACAGGCTTGTGTGGACTAAGTTAAACTCGAGAGGACACATTCCCTTATGCCTGCACGGCGAATAAATTCACACGAAGACATAAGGTATATGAATCCCGAAGGCTACTTGCTAGGCTCGCACGATGAATAAATTCATACGAAGAAGTCGCTTTCGCCCCTACTTAAAATAGGGTTTAGAGCTCGAGTATAGAGCCTTAGAGGAAAAAACGAGTTTGGAAGGCTGAAATCATTAGAAAACGGTTAGTACAACTATTTACTCAAAAATATAATCAAAGATAAGCAATAAGGATCGGAATGTTACTTAAAATTTAAACTTACCCTTTTCGTTAAAATACAACTGGAAATTACCTTAGTTTGACTCAATTACCTGTGTCCCTAGCAGAGTCACCAAGCTGTCGCAACCGTCTTTCGGTTGGACCAGGAATTGGGCTTCGACTTGGATTTAATGGGTTAGGAGTCGCCATCGATCATTTACTTTAAACAAAATGGGTTGATCGAATACCTTATTTCTTACAAGATCTGTGTCTTACCGGTGATATGTCGGATTCGGGAGTCGGTTACAGTCAAGGAAGGGTTAGCACCCTTGAATTGCCATTTTGGTACTACGTAATTTACAGTTGTCTTTAATTAAGAAAGTTGTAGATTTAAACTAAAGGGTAAAATATCGATCCACAATTACTTACCTCTGATAAATTTGAATGAAGACCCTTAAGAAGAAAACGTTAGATTTAGAGTGATGAAAATAAATAAAATAAAAACGACTACAAAACTAATGATACAAATTAGAAGGGACAATAAAATAAACTAATGATAAATAGGATAAATAAAGGAAAAGAAATAAAGGGAAAAATATATACTAAATAAATATATATATATATATACACGTGAATAGTAATAAAGAAAAAAGCAAACATAAAAACAAAGGAATGAAAATTATATAGAAACAAAGAAATAAAAATAAAACATATATCAAATAAACAAAAAACAAAGGAAAAAAAGTAAACACAATAAAAAATAAATAAAGTAAATGAAACAAATAGAAAGAATATACATATAATAATAATAATAATAATAATAATATATATATATATATATGTATATACGTTAAAAATAATAATAGAAATAATAATAGCTATAAATATATATATATATAATAAAATAAGAATGACGTATATAAAATATATATATATATAAGGGAATAAAAAATTTAATAATAATGAAAATATAATATATAATAATGTAGGGATTAAATTAGAACAGAAGCAAAATTAAGGAATAAATTTACAAAGAAAATTGAGGATTATATTCGATTTAGGACGAAAATGCGCTTTTAAAACTCATGGGGACCAGAATGGGATTTAACCTAATTTTACGTGAAAACACCCGAATTTATTGTGCAACTGGTCAGGTCAAATGGCTTCACGGGTCGCATATTTAAGCCAATGATTTGGCTTAATTTCTCATTTCTTTTCATTTGAAACCGAGTGCCCCCCTTATAGCTTCATTCTCTCATTTGTTCATCCAAGGATGAACACGCCACCGCCTGGGATTTTAATGAACCCAGAAATCGCCTGTCGTCGCCTCACCACCGCCATTGATCGGCGGCAAAAATATTTTTTTTTCAAAAGCTTTTCCTCTCTTTTCTTAGAAAATCAAATGGTTTTTTTTTTTAAAAAGGCCTCCCAGGGTGTAGATCGAAAAAATATTTCGAAAAAAACACAACCCCTTTTGTCCCTTTTGTCCTTGGCCAAAAGCTCTATTGGGGTTCGATTCTTTTGGGTTTCAATCAGAACAAAATCGTACGCATGCAATGAAGGCCCACCGAAACGAAAGGTAAAAACAAAAATATACCTCTTCTTATTATTCTTCGAAATGCTTTACAAGTGCTCTCAATGCTTCGGTTTTCTCTAGTATGCGTGTTTGTGTGTGATGCTTGCCTCTAGTAATCGTGTAGATTCTCTCAAATTTTTGGGTATTTCGTTTATATAATCCTCCATTACAAAGAGTTCGATTACACTTATTTATAGCCTAACATTTGCTTGTATTTAGAGTCCTATTTACACTAGAGTTCTAATGCTTTTGGTATATCTTGTGGTTTGTTTTTATGGTGGACGAGTCTTCCTTGCACAGGAGGATTCGGGTTGTTGAAGTGTTGCCGTGAAAAACGACTATGGTTGCGTGAAGAACGGCGACTGGCGTGAGGTGTGAGGGCTCCTTTACTGGGCATTACAGCGTTGGGGTAAGACGAGGGAAGAGACAGCTAGGGTTTCATACAAACCCTAATCCATATGGGATGCAAGTGTCAGGCTTCTTTTTTTTTTGCATTTGGGCCTGACACAAATGTAAACAAAATAAATGTGTAAGTGTGTGCACCACATGTAATAAAGCATATAATATAATATAAGTTATAATGTAAATATATTATATAATATCAAAAGACAAAATTTGGTGTCTTCAGATATTATAAATATATGTTTGATTTCAAAAGTATAGAAATTTGTTATGTAAAAAAAGTAAATATATTAAATTTATTATCAAATTATCATTTCTTCATGTTTAAACATTTTTTTTAAATTCCAGTACCTAATCTTTAATCATGAATAATAATAATAATAAAAATAATTATAAAATAGTATTTGTTCACCATCTTTATTAATTATTGACAATGCACCTTTGTTACAAATACAACTACTTGAACCAAATATCTTAAGAGAATAACATATTTCATTAATCATTAAAATTATTTAATAAAATGAATATTTATTTATATAAGAAATTTGGATTTGAGTGGAAGAAATAATATGTGCGTGTTTGTGACTCTTAATGCTACTTGAACACTAGGCTGGAGAAATAATTTTGGTAAAGCCTTCAGCTTGGAGAGGACAAAGCATGGGCCTAAGATCTAATTAACAACATAAATAAAAAGGAGCTGAGTTAATCTCAAATCTAATGTGGGGTGAAACTCATTTCAATGCACGTACTGATCATTATACGAAAATCAACTAAACATGATTAGTTTCAAGAAATAGATCCGAAACAAAATGGGAATCGCTAGAAAATAAAATTAAGAAGGAAAATAGACGTAAATTGTGGGGGAGTTGATAATAAAACACAAATAGCCGTAATTAAAATTAATAATTGGACGTGGATGAATATGAAGAGGGTATAGCCCACGAAAACTACGATAGAACCGCCTTCACAGAATAAATAAAAATTGGACCTTTGAGGGAGTCCAAATCCAATTATGACTTTTTCTCCTCTGCCAAATGCGGCCTAAATTCCGAACGAAAAAGAAAAGCGCCCTAAATTCTGATATTGTTTTAGCCCTAATTTAGGGTTTTGGCTTTTTTCTCTCATCGAACAAAAAGAAAGCTCTGAACTTTCTTTCGCCTCTCTTCCAGCCCAATTAGCCTCCCTCTTCCTCCTCTGCGCTTCCCTCCGTTACCCGATATTCAAAATCTTATATATATATATATATATATATGACTTCTTTCAGTTTCAGGAAAACAAGAATAAGCAAATAATTCTACAATTTTCGTTTCGAATCTGCTTTCCGGGCTTTTCGGTGAAACAAGGTACTTAATATTTGGTCAATATACTGGTTTTTGTTTATTTCAGCGTAATTTTATGTTTCGATGCCTTGTTTCTTAGTTTATATACATGGACTTTACTGGGAATTATAAATTTTTGTTCGAAGCTGTCTATTCTCGGCGTTAATGGGTTTTGCTCAAAATCCTATTTCTTCGTAGTTCTTGTATTGCTTTTCTGATTTTCTGGCTATTTGTTTTTTCCGTCTTTATCTGCATATTTTAATAAGTTCCCCTTCTTCTACACTGATATTTTAGTGTGGCCCTCGTGTTTTAGGTCTTTTAGCTTGTGAGAAGCTGATAGTTATTTCGTTTTATGTTGCAACGGGTTTTCATTTAAGTTTGGGCTCCAGATCTTGATCAATTGATCTTATGGTTTGTTAGTTTGTAAATATGAATCTCTATTGTCTTGTGAGGGATAACCTACTGCCCATAAGATGTAATGGAATGTAGACGTTTAGGGAATTCTCTTTATTCGATAAGTTTAGGCTCTAATGTGAATATCAAAACTTTGGGTGCCTTCAAATCACTTTGTATCATTCTTATCTGGCTACTACATATTGTTGCCTTCATGTGGTCTCCCTGTGTTTTTCCATCTACATTTTTTAACATAATCTAATTATCTAAATGAGAACTTATAATCAGCTGTGCCTTTGATATTTGTAGGACTGTACATTGAGATGGAGACTGCAATTGTTCCTGTTTCCATGCCTGATACACCTATTACTCCTACTGAGAATGGTGAGCCGCTTAGTTCTGAAGTACAGCCGAGTAAACGGAGGAGGAAGAAGTCTATTGTCTGGGATTATTTTACTGTGGAGACTGTTGGAGATGGATGTATCAGGGCCTTCTGTAATCAGTGCAAAAAATCATTTGCTTACATTACTGGTTCAAAGCTAGCTGGAACTAGCCACCTCAAAAGACACATTGCATTGGGTATCTGCCCTTTAAGTCGTCAGAGAAATCAGCAGACACCAGACCCTAAAACTGGTAATGCTGTTGATGAACACGGAAAAGACAACGAACAACTCAGAGAATTGCAAACATCCCTTTTAACCAGGAAAACTGCAACCATGAGATAGCTAAGATGATCATAATGCATGAGTATCCCCTCCACATTGTGGAACACCCTGGTTTTAATGATTTTGTGCGGACTCTTCAACCACAGTTCAATATGGTGAGTTTCAACACTATTCAAGGAGATTGTGTTGGAATGTACTTGAAAGAGAAGCAGAGCCTTCTCAATTTTATCAATGAAATTCCATGTCGGGTCAGTCTTGCATTAGATTTGTGGATTTCAAATCAAACCGTGGGTTATGTTTTTCTAACAGGACAATTCATTGATACTGAGTGGAATTTGCATCGCTGCCTGCTTAATGTGGTCACAGTACCATCCCCTGATTCAGATGGTGCCTTACAGCAAGCTGTTGTTTCTTGTCTGTCTGAATGGCATTTGGAGAATAGGCTATTTACCCTTACTCTTGATCAGTCCTTCTCAAATGAGAACATAAATGAAAGCCTACGAGCTCTGTTTTCTGGCAGGAACCCTTATGTGCTTCATGGTCAGTTATTGATTGGAAATTGCTTTGCTCGCGTTATAAGTCTTCTTGCACAAGAGGCACTATGGTCTGTGTGGGTAACTGTGAATAAAATCCGAGAAAGTGTGAAGTTTGTGAAAACTTCAGATACTCATGAAGAGACATTTTTCCATCTTAAGGAACAACTTAAGGACCCTAGCACAAAAGACATATTCATCGATGATCAAACAAAGTGGAACACAACTTATGACATGTTGGTGGCTGCCTGCGAACTAAAGCAGGTATTTCTGTTCTTGGAGACCTCCTTTCCTGATTATAATATAGCCCCAACATTGGATGATTGGAAGCAAATAGAAATTCTCTGCACGTACTTGAAGCTTTTCTTTGATGCTGTCAGTATTTTAACTGCCCAAACATACCCAACTGCCAGTGCATTCTATCATGAAGTGTCAAAAGTTCAATTAGAGTTGACACATGCCTCAATGAGCAATGATCCATTTATCAGCAACTTGACCAAGCCTTTGAAGGAGAAGTTTGATAGATATTGGAGTGACTGCTTCTTAGTTTTGGCGATTGCTGTGGTAATGGATCCAAGGTTCAAAATGAAACTCGTTGAGTTTAGCTTCTCTAGGATATATGGTGATGATGCTGGAATGTGGATTAGATTGTTGATGATGGGATTCATGAGCTCTACCATGAATATACCATACAAGAAGTTCCTCCACCTGAAACATTTGTGGAAGAACGGAATGAAATCAGTATCCCTGAAGAGAATGGGAGCATCATCCCCAAAATTGAACCTCCTGAAAATGGCTACCTTCAAGAGCGACTATCTGAAGAAGGATACCTCCAAGATGGACCATCTCAAGAAGATACTTGTCATGAAATGCCCCATCAAGAAGTAGCCTCTCAAGAAGTACCTTCTTCGGATCCCCTTATTTGTATTGGAGATGGACTTTCAGATTTTGAGGTCTATATCTCCGAGATCGGTGATAGCCAGCAAACAAGATCTGAATTGGATCAATATCTCGAAGAGTCACTTTTGCCTCGAGAACATGATTTCAATATTCTGAGCTGGTGGAAACTAAACAAGAGAAAGTATCCAATTCTCTGGAGGATGGCTTCTGATATTGTCAATCCCATTTTCTACTGTTAGTTCTGATATTGTTTTTGACTCGGAAAGAAAAAGGATGGATAATTACCACAGTTCATTACATCCAGTGACACTTGAAGCTCTTATTTGCGCAAAGGATTGGCTTCAGTATGGAACATCACAGAGTTCCGAATGAATTGTGAAGATGGAAAAATTCTAGAGTATGGATTTTGTCTTGTGTCATCTTTTACAAGATATGATAGTGGTGATTCTCATCTCAGCATAATTCCTCTACGCCTCATATGTTAGATGCTTTATAGGATTCTTAGTAGCCACTAATGGAATCGACACATTATTCTTAGTTCAGTGAATCAAATCTTCTTTTGATTCATATAAATTACTAGTGTTTCTCGAGCTCCTATTTTTTATGCATTTCTCTCCTTTATACCAGATTTGTTGATGTAAAATCCAACTTGTTTAATTTTTTCTCCTGATAATTGGCAACTCTGTTCTCCTACGAAGCATGGATTTTGTTACAAGACGTTTGAAGAATGATTGTTATGTTGTGCATTTCCAACATTGCAAGCATGTTACACTACTGAATTTCATCTGATCAATAAGGGTGTATGGATTCGATTTGGATGGTAAAATATAGGAATAATATCATAGCTTTAATGACTTAATTTTCATATTCGGGTGATGTTATATGTATATATATGGTTGTTGTAGATTGAATTTATCGATGTACTTATCATGTAATATACAATTTGGTATGATATTAGTCAAGTCAACCATAAAGGCATGCAACATGGGCTTAAGATCTAAATCATAGATCATTTGCTTTAGCCCAATGTTTAAGTTTTGGCTACAGCTTAGTGTTAAATTTAGTGTATGAAATCAACTGCGGTTAATATATGTTTTAAAAAGAGAAATATAAAACATCTAGTTTAATTAAACAACTAAATGTGTGTGTGTGTGTAACTTTTTTTGAAAATGTACAAATACATATATAATATTATATAAATACTTTACTCTGATATTTGATACCGTTTTGTCCCAGATAACATAATTTCGTCATTGAATACTCTCTCTGGATAGTCATTAGGCCTCGTTCTCTTAGGTACACCCTGTGCTAGGGTAGGGAAACCCTATTTTTTTTAGACAGTGGTAAGTTTAAGCCAGCCTTTGATTTTCGATGAATTCATCCACATATCTTGTGGGGTTTCAGATCGCATAAAGCCCTCCACTTTCGAACCTATCACTTTGACTTCTAGGCCATTTTCACCGATTTTCATGTATGCCAGACCACTAAAAACAGCGTTTATGATTCAACTACAATTCATGATCAGCTCAACATTTTCAATCCATAAAAAATTAAATATGCATGTTACGGTCACCCTTTCCCTACCATGTTCATTCTTGATGACAGAAAGTGGGAACAGTCAGCCCACTTCAATCCCTTTTGCCAATTGGTAGCACACTTTTTTGACATTTCCCACACAAATACTGCTTACAGCTCCAAACAACTAATGCTTCTAAATGCTTTTCCAATATAGCATTTACATCTGTTAGAGATCTTAATTCGAATTTTAATTCATATGACCAGATAAGTTAACGATATGGTAGAATTATTTTTTTTAAATAAAAATTATGATCGATTCGTGTTTATATATACATGTGATGATGTTTCATTTTGTAACTGTCTGGTACATTATCAGAATTGGATATATTTTTTGTTTTATTGGAAGATTTTGTTGATAGCAAGCACATGTGGGCATAGTGCAGCCCAAAATAAAAAGACAAAAGTTGATGAAAACATATGATAATATGCCCTAAAGAGAAGTCAAGTGGGAAACCTTACAATGAAAAATACAAGGGAGGGTAAATTCCACAATTTAGCTTCATGATCAACTACCAACCAGTTTTCAGTTACATCACAAAACAGATATGTTCACCCTCCCCTTCACATTTACTTTCTCTTCACCTTTCTTTTATTTACTTACTGGTGTATCTATAAATATTTATCGTAAATGATCAAGTACGTACGATGACTGCAAACACAATAAATACGACTACTAAAAATCATTCAGGTTGCAATTTGAAGATGTACCACTTGTCACATGCAACCAGTTTACACCAATATATAAACCTCCCATTTTGTCAACAAACTACGGTTTACGGTAAGCACCAGCGCAATGGGCTGGTACTCTTGCTTATCAAAAACTGCTCTCGAGCCCTTGCTTGTTTACGAGTATAGCCTTGCCTTTTCTCGAAATGAGCTCGGAAAGGAGGACTTAGCGTGCTTCAACCATGAGTTTCTTCAGAGCATGGGAATTTCAGTTGCCAAGCATAGGCTGGAGATTCTCAAGCTCGCTAGGAAGGAAACCGGAGAAGCCCCCAACAGCCTGGCCAAGCTCATTTTGGCAATTAACAAGACAAGAAAGTCCTTCAACAAATATGTTACCAAGTTCGTTCATCGAGATAATCACGCGATTAAGCCGTTGCCGGCTCCGGTTTGTCATTAAGATCAGTGGAGAGTGGCACTGACGTTGTCACGGAAGGGAAAGAACGAGAAGGAGCTGATGAGGATAGAGCAGCCAGTGGTGAGATCAAGGTAGCGAAATCTGGTCCCTTGGATTACAAAGGACAATACAAGTTATTGATCCCTCCTAGAAGATTGAAATTATCAGGACCCCTTGATAGAAAAATGCAGGAGATGGTGATACTCAATTACAGAAGCCCCATAACTTCTGGTCCTACTGATATTGCAATGGCAGCACAGGAGAGGTTGATGCTCACAAATGGCCGTAGGAGCCCAAAACTATCTGTACCTCTTAGTTTTGTAAGAACTCCAAGCCCAAAGATTTATGGTGATCATTACAACAAGGAAAAAGCAGGTGAGAACTATGATGATCAAACATTGTGGGCAGAACTTTTCCGGGACATGAGACCCACTTGATCATGTCTGAGGAATCTTTCTTACTTTTGTCGGCTAAGTCAAGCCATGCTCATTCAAAAGTTCTCTCCAATCACAGGGATATGCCATATACGACTGGTAACAACTGCTTTTTTATGCGTGTGAATCTGATACAAGATTAGCATTTCCTAGCGCTGGACAGTCTGTATTCTTTCTGGATTCATGTAATCTAAAGTTTCTAAACTAATATATGTGTGTGTATGTGTGTGTGTTTTGTTGTATGTAGGCATCTTTGGGTTGAAAGAAAATAGTAAAGAAAAGTGATTGATCTAAGGCGATAGAAAAGATGGTTTCAATATTGTAAAGATGTTAATTCTCACACCAGAAGCTGCTAGAGAGTAATGTTTCGAGGTGTAGACACTAACTAGCTGCTTCAAAAAGAAGGATACTAGCCATATTAAAAGAATTCAATGATTTTCATCCTCCATTTAAATATTGTCGATTCGGCTAAGTCGAATTCTTTAACAACAGCCAGATACTGTCTTAAATAGTTGCAATGAATATCAGCCTCCCTCATTCAAATTATCTTAAATGTTGCACCCGCAGCATCTAAGGTTCCTTAAAGTTCTTGTCTACAATTACAAAGGAGTTTAACTGTCTGCCTGCTGAGAATTTAAGATGACAGCAACTAATCTCCAAAGGCAACAATTTCTTTACGATAATTATCAATAATTTCGTGTTTGAAACCTAATGATTCAGTGCTTCATGTACACAAACAGCCAAATAAAGAAAAAGTAAAGGTTGACTGCAATTATAATTTATAAGTACTTAATGGACTGCCTATACATCCATCTAATATTTGCAGCTCTGTTATCATGGTACACACAAACTTGCAACATCATTAACAACAATATGCTCGGATATATCAGTTATCAACTAGGCATCAACGTTCTTCTAGATAGATTTTACAAATAGAGCAAGGGTTCGTAAAAATCAGAGCCCCAACGCGCGTGTTGAGTAATAAACAGGCATCCAGGCATAAACTGCATTTATTAGAGTTTGCATACTACTTAGAGTGGAATACCTAGTCTAAGATGTGCCCCAAAAGTATTGAAATCTTCCACAGTAATTAGATGTTTGTGGCAGCCTAAAAGAACCCCGTCCGTAAAGCATTTAGTAAACAGACCATATTCGCTTAGTAACAACGATGGTTGCTACTGAGCCCACACCACAGAGACCAGCAAGAACCAGGAAAGTAAGCTTAAAGCAGTTGTCAACACACCTTTTCGTCCTACTAAGATTCAAACTCCTAAAAATAGGATAAAATTTTGTTAGGATTCAAACTCTTAAAAATAGGATAGAGTTCTACTATTATTTAAACTCCGGATCCACAATCATTATAAATAGTCATTGTAACTCACTATTGTAACACATTCGGAGGAGGATATATGAAATACCAAGCAAAAAATTACAAGCAACTCGTAGCCATTTTTCGAAGCATTTATATTTTGAAAGGTAAAGTTCATACCTTCGCATGTTATTTTTCCTTACCCTTGTTGTGTTTTGATTTCGAAAGAAAACTGAGAGAAGTGTTTTTGGCCGATGAACGGGGGCGTTTTCGAGATCTATTTTTGTAGATCTAGTCCCCGAGGCTTGTGTTTTTGAAAAACTATTCGGATTTTTATAAACGGATCGTGTGGATCCGCGGGTTTTGTCATTTTTTTCTTCGATTGGCTTTTAATTTTGACCCCTAATTCATTTTTTATGTTAATTTAACCCTTATTATTTATATGTATATATGTATATATTTATTTATATTTTATTTATTTATTTATTTAATTTTTTTCATTTTTCTTTGCGTTATTATACTATTTTCTATTATTATATATATATTATATTATTATTTTTTTATCTATGTTTACTTATTTACTATATTTTTTTACTATATTTTCCTAACGTTATATATATATATTCTTACTTTATTTTATATTTCTATGATTACTATATTTTTAGTTAATATTATATGTATATTTATTTTTCATTTATTTATTATTATTATTACTATTTAGTATTTTATTATATTATACATACATTTTTATATTTTTTATATATATATTTTTTATTATTTCATTTATACTATTTATTTATTTTCATTATATTTTTAGTTTCTTTGCTCTTATTATTATTTTTCTTTTTTAAAAAAACACTTTACCTTTTTTATTCTTTTTGTATATATATTTTATCTTCATTTATTTTATTTTATTCAATTTTATTTTTTTTCATCCAATTATTTTATGTTTATTATTATTGGTTTCATTTATTTCCTTGGTTTACTCTTTAATTTTGTTACTTTCTTTTATTATTATTATTTTCTTTTAAAATCTTATTTTTTAAGAGTATTTCCGTAAACTCATTAAGGGTAAGTAATTCAGATCAAATTTTACCTTTTAATTTAACTTGCAATTTTCTTAATCAAAGACAATTGGAAATTACGTAGTACCGAAAGGACAGTTCAAGGGTGCTAATCCTTCCTTGACCGTAACCGACTCTCGAACCCGATACATCTTTGGAAAGACGCAGATCATGTAAGAAATAGGGTATCCGATCAACCCATTTGTTTTAAATAAATGATCGGTGGCGACTCCAATCCACATTTTTCAAGTCAAAGCCCAATTCCGTGGCCCAACCGAAAGACGGTTGCGACAGCTTGGCGACTCCGCTGGGGACACAGGTAAGTGAGTCAAGCTAAGGTAATTTCCAGTTGTTTTTTAATGAAAAGGGTAAGTTTAAATTTTAAGGTAATATTTCGATCCTTATTACTTACTTTTGATTATATTTTCGAGTAAATAGTTGTACTGACCATTTTTTAATGATTTCAGCCCTTAAAGATTTTTCATCTAAGGCTCTAAACCCGAGCTTCAAACCTTGCTTTAAGTGGGGTGAAAACGACGCCTTCGTGTGAATTTATTCACCGTGCGGGCCTAGCAAGTAGCCTTCGGGATTCATATACCTTATGTCTTCGTGTGAATTTATTCACCGTGCGGGCATAAGGGAATGTGTCCCCTCGAGTTTAACTTAGTTCACACAAGCCTGTGATGGGTTTAGGACTAAGGGTCTGGCAAGCCCAAGGGGCACCGGCAAGGAGAACTCGGGTACCATTTTTAGAACCTAAACTGGGAGACCATGGAGAATTAGAGCCTACCCCGAAACCACATTTTCGAAACCTAGGATATTTTTACATTAACCATGTCTTTTTTTCCTTTCGTCATTTATTTATTTATTTATTTTACTAACATTTCTGCCATTGTGTTTGTTTTTTTAGCATTTGCATCATAACAATAGGCTATTGATCCTTAAAAAGCGTTTGTTACACACAAAATAATCTGAATTAATGGACAAAGGTGTTGTAATACAAGAGATTAAGAACGCCGAGGCACGACTATGGTTCGAGATGACTCAGAAAGAGAAGGGAGACAGTCTTAAGGGGAACTACGTGTCAGAGCTGGTTAGCTATGCCCTGTCAGCCTGAAATAGAATGATGTCCAAGAGTTGCGAAACATTTGAGACAGTTGGAAGAATGACAGAAAGCAGAAGTTAAGCTAACGATATGGTGATATTGCCCTCTTACTTCATGTCAAGACTGATGAGCCCATACTCCGAGCACTGATTCAATTCTAGAACCCGGGATATAGTTGCTCCACCTTTAACCGGGAGGACATGGTACCCGCTATCGAAGAGTATACCACACTACTGCACTGCGAAAGCATCAGACTAGAGAAGGCATATATCAAATATATCAAGGGTCAACCTTTTAAGAACGGACTGGCCAAGATTGTATGGGTTGATGAAAAGTGGGTGACTGATCGACTCTGACACAAAGGTAGCGGGGAAGGAATCAAGTGAATCCATATAAAGCAACTAATGAAGAACCACCCTGATGAATGGAAGACTATAGATCTTTTTGCACTGGGTCTGTACGGTTTGATTATCTTTCCGAAGACCTTGGGGTGCATCGACGCAGCCGTAGTAGAACTATTTGAACAACTTCTAAGGCGAGTCAACCCAGCACCGACCATCTTAGCCGAGACCTTTCGGTCTTTAATCATTGAAGAAGAACTGGTGGAGGAAGGTTCATTGGATGTGTTCAACTCCTTCAAGTCTGGATTCATAGCCACTTTTGGAAGACTAACGGGTTGCCTACCACCAATTCAGCACTACCTATTTACCATTGGGAGAGTTCATCACTATGAAATGACATGAAGGCGCTTCGAAGGAAGAATAGATGAAGGTCTTCACTCATCTTCAGGACCGGGATATTACTTGGAGAGCCCCCTGGTTGTTCCTCAGTGATGTTCTTTTTCGATTTGGGGATTTGACACTATGACCTTACTTGGACTTTGGGGTGCAGTTGGGTATGCTCCGTTGTTGGCACTTAGACAGTATGGGGCATGTCAGTTTGTCCCAGCAATATACAGATTATCTACATCAGAGTTTGTGTATCACGGTGACAGTTATAAGAAGATGATCAAAGAGGCAGCCGAGTCATGGAAGAAAGTATCACGGATGGATGTCGTGGTTGCCAGAGATATGCTTACTCCGGATTATATGGAGTGGCGAAGATTGAGAAAGAATAATAGCATCCCAATGCCAGACTGTGAAGACACCCGGACCATAGAGGAACATCTCAGGCCTGTCCCTTCTGAACTTGAGATAGTCAAGGCAGAGTTTGAAGCTGTGAATAATGAGCTGAAATAGAGAGTTAAGGAACTTGAAGCTGAACGTTATCAATGGAAACTAGATGCGATTCTCAGAAAGATAGAGCAGACAAACTGGAAAGGGAGCAGAAAAGAGTATGTTTTGAGCTTGAAGACTTGAGAAAGGGGTACCAAGATAAAGTCAAGAATAACTCCAAGTTGAAAGTGTCCTCTGAGTACTGGAAGGATGAAGCTCATAGCCTGAAAAAGAAATTCGAGGGGCCTGACGAGAAAACTTGGAAGGAACAGATGAAAATTGCCCAGAGGCGCTTAGCAGACAGTCAGCAT